TTATCTTGGTATCGTATTCGCCTCAAAGTGAACGAGAGGGGTGGGCAGAGAGGAGGAGTGTGTCGAGATGTACGTCAAGCCGCAACGCAAATCCTCGTACAGCCGCGTGCGTGTGCGTATGAAGAGCAACTGTGGCTACGATGACGACGAGAGAGGGCAGAGGAAACCAGACCAGACCAGCTGGCAAGAACTAACCGTACAGATAGAATTCAGAACAATCGACTGACTGACTGACTGAATATTACGCACGGACTCAACATCAGGATTTTCCTTGGCCAGCTCCCAGACTCTTTTCCGCTATGTCGTGCGATCAAGAGCGTCCAGAGTAACAGGATTGAAAACTGTCTCTGTGACCAATCTTTGTCAAATGCTATCTTAAACTCCGCTAAAGGAGTATGCAAGATTCTCTTAAGAATAGTTCTTACACTCGAAGAGTGAAGAAAGTACCAGTTATGATGACTTTCTTGATTCCGATGTCGATGGACTGGCGCACAATGTGAAGTGTACCATGATAAGTACCCTGTAATTCGAATCAGGACAAGTTATTAATACGAAGGGAAAGATAAAAAGCTAACATGGAATAACTCGTCACTGGATTTGTCGAATGACACCGGCGCTGCCACATGAACGATTGCGTCTATCAAGCCCTCGCTGTAGCTGGAGACGAGCGTCGACATTGAACGACCTCTGAGGCAGGAGCACCAGGAAAGATGCCTTGCAGTTTAGAAGCTGAACGGGGACACGGTATTCCTTTTCCAAAAGCTGATCTATGACGTGTGATCAAACGAAACTGGTTCCTCTGGTGACCTATATGGCGAGGAGGAGGAAATATGGAAGAAAAAATCGTATCCGAGCCACAAAAACTAATTGGGACATTCTCGCTAGATTCGTGAAGAAAAGAAGGTAATAGGCGCTCAAACTGGCGCTTAGAGTCTGTTCTGTAACTTCTTTCACCAGTTCGGTAAGATTACTGATACGTACCAGTAATTTCTTCCCCAGCAGGACAAGGAAGTTGATCTGCCATTTCAAAACCGAGGCTCTTTAACCGTCGCCTTGATGCTGATCAATGGGACCCTTCTTCTTTTCTGGCTAAGTATTCCTTCTATATGTAGAGATCCTCGACCCCAACACTAACAAGGCTACCCCGAACGCTGATCTTTCACACCAACGTTGATTGTCAAACCATAGAATTCCCAGTGAAAGGTCCTGCATACTGCCAGATGGAAATCAATCGCTTCCAACGTACGTGCACATGGTAGAGGTTAATCTGAGCGCGCATCTTTAGATTTGTTGGGAGCCGTCTTCAACAGCCGTTGGGCCGCATAATTCGATCTACACTTTGGAATCACTTTCATAATCGCACCTTTAACAGGTGTGTACTGTACACGATCTCATGTCGAGTCTAGGTAACGTAAGGCAACTACATAACTTGCGTGGTTGGGAGTTTCACAAGACATTTGGCGGAAGGGTGTACGGTGGTAACATTGCGTATGTGTTTACGATCTGATATCTCAGATGGGTCTGCTTTCCAGATGAAGCAGCCCTCCAGCGTAAGCTCACCCGGTTTGAAGAGGTTGCTGTCTTTTCGACATTACCTGAAGACAAGGGCTTATACACATTTGACCCAATCGGTGAGTATCATGTTAGGCAGGAACTGATCTCAAACCATATCAGGATGGATCCCTGTTCCAGCCCCTTCGTAATGAGTATGCACTTTACTATCATCTCTTCATAAGTGCTATTAGGACCGAAACACTCCTGGTCGGACTCGTAAGCACCATCGTCGAAAGCAGCTCAGTGAGTGAGTTGTCAAACTTGTGCATGCTCAGTTGTCAAACTTGTGCATGCTCAAAAACGATTTAACATCTGCTGCTTTATAGTGCCAATCTTTTACAATGTAGTTGACTAGGTATGGTACTCTTAATATTCTATCTACGTAGCTTAAATCGGCTTTAAATCATTACTTTCAAAGCGGACCTCAAGATGCCAGATCCATTCCAATCCTCATCCCAACATGAGTGATTAAATTTGGAGTTTACAGATCGATCTTATATGGATGGCCCGTACCCCACTTGAGCTCATTGGTCAATCGGGCCTCGGGTACTCGTTTGACAACATGGTGGATGATGTACCGATGCATAAATATAGTATATTGATGAAGGATTTCGCGTATGTGTTCAATTTCAGTGAATCTACTTCTCGTATTACTAATACCCTATAGCCCCTTCCGTTGGCCATGAAGCTCTTACCGACAAATGTTCGCACCTTCATCATGAATATCACTCCCTGGAAAATCCTCCATGATGTTCGGGACATGGTTTTCTGTCGAGATTATGAGAAAAAGAAACGCGCACTTGAGAAGATGAGGAGCCCGTGGTGAGGCAGAGAGGACAGGAAAGATAGCACCACGAGTAAGTGCGTCTACTTTTTCCTGCGTTACGAATCCTCGTTGAAGCATGTTTGGTAGTGAGAGAGAATGTGAAAGCTGACACCCAAGATAAACTCGAGGAAGAAGAGATCATTGCTCAAATTCAGTCTCTCTCTTACCTCGGCGAGCGCAGCACATTCATACCTTTGCCGTCATTTTGACATTGCGGAAGAGTGCCATGTCTCGTATTCTCCATCTTGCTTCACCCAATTGTCCAGGAGGACAAAATGTGACAAGAAATAATTGAAGCTCGAACGGAATGTCAAGGCGGAAATTTGAAGCTACGATGAATTGGTGGGGCTTCCATATCTCGACGTAGTGTGTATAGAGGCCTTACGACTGTGCGTATATTTAGTGCCTCCGGGACTATTATTCTGACTTTCTTCCGCAGATTTAAACCGGTGTCTATCTTGATGCGAGTGTATATTTTCTTTGGACTAACCTATAAACCAAAAGTTGATAACGACGCGCTCTCCAGGGCTCGCGAGAACCACCATAGCTAACTAAGCGTATCCCGTTGATTTAGCTGATTCTTTGTCTGATTCAGCGCCGCAGCTGTAAGTAAGGTGACTACATCTTATTCGCTCTACAAAGCCAACTCGAGACGTTAGAAGGTACGGCGGGTGGCTGGGCAAGGACACCAGTGTTCCGCGCAATGCGGATTGCACTAGCTAGCTCGGAATCCGCATCATCGAAATTCGAGAATGTTGGTGGACAAGGCAGCGCGCTTGTCCGGAAGAGTGCTAGTAGTTTGTGATGCGAAGAAGTGAGCTTACCGAAAGCCTCCTTAGCCTAAGCTACGATTCCCAAGAAAGAGAGTCAAAGTGGTGAAAAGGAGAAGCTAGTAGAAGCGGTTAGACCGCAATCACAGGAGTCTTGCGTACAAGCTCAATTTCGGTGGACGTTTGCTCATCAACCATCTCTAGGACCTCGCCTCTTTGACCTCGACCAATGGGTCCCATGATTGTTTCTATATCACGACTCCCTATCTTTGTTAGTTCCCTTGGCTCTGTTACTCGTTCTACGCTGACGCCTCTTTCTGGTGACTAAATCCAAATCTGACGAGTCTCCATTTCCACATTGAACTCTGAGTAGGTATACCTGCACTGAAACAATGGATACTTACAAGTTACTGATGTGATTAGTGATCCAGTGGCATTTTAAACACGTTACACTAACTAGGTTGTCTTTGCAAGTCAAAGCGTAAAATATCAATGATATCGGAGATCTATATTGTTGTTAGATTAGGCTAGGTTTATTACCAGCTTGGGACCAAGTGCTGATACGCCGGAATCCAAAAATTCATGAGCTACTCTAATGTGCTTAAAAACATCAGTGTTCTTGGACCAGCCCATAGCGGTTGAGATGAACTTATCAATGCTTTGGTTCAGGCTGTGGTGGATCCGTGATACATACTACTTATGCAGAGACCAAGAGTACGAAGAATTAAAAATATATCTATTTACTAGATGGTACGTTGGTACAGAGTCACCGAATTTGCATAACATAACACGATGTATTCTTGAGTTCTTCTAAATATTTTTACGTTGTTTCTCCCAGGTGAGTGTAGCATCGATCCCAGGAAGCGCACTTTCCTCCCAAGGTATAGTATATACTCTTTCATCCCCAATTATCGGTTGTAAACCTCGGAGTCGTATTGAGCAGAGCATCAATCTGGTTAGGAGGTACATCATACATGATCCTCCTTCGGAAGTCGGTCTGGAAGCTAAGGTCTTTCCTGACTTATCAAGTCTGCCGCATCCTTCCACTCGGCACTTGAACGTTGTAGCTGAAATAGTGAATTGTTTACCCCGGTCAGGAATACTAGGAGGCATAGAAAGCGCTGCTATGTGAGCTCTAGCAACATCACGCACGTTCGAGTCGACCAGATGACCGATAGATTCATGGAAGGGGAAGCCCCAGACCCCAGTAAGTAGTTGCAATGATATGAAATCCCCGCGTTGGTACTGGTTCCTATGCTATCAAAGGTAATGGTATTTCACTTGAGTCCATTTTGCTTCAGCCCTTAGCTAAGTATACCATCCCTTCAAAATGCTGGTCGGCTGGGCCCAGCTATAATGGACTGCCAATGGCGGGAATTGGTTGCAAGTTACTAGGTATGTTACGCCAAGCAACCAAGCAAGCGTTAACAGTCCAAGCTAATCCTGGAATTGCCTGAGTCGACCTGGGGTTCAGTTCCCTCTTAATACATTGAATGACATAGCGGGAGAATAGTAGGTTTTTTCTGCCATCCTTTACAAGTCTTCTTCTGATGCATGCTGCAGTGTGCGGATCTAGGATTGAGTGACAATATTATCATACGTACTTCCTACTTACCCTCAGTCTTGTAGTTTGACATCAAGTTGCAAGTAAGTACATACACGTATGTCCAGGATATGATCTGATTGAAGTACTGAATGATCTGTTAAAGTTTAGGGGAGACTTGATATATATATAAATGTATTGTTGAGTAGACTCGGAGTGCTGAGAAGAGACGTTTTGCTCAGATGAAGTTTAGATACTTGTAAGCTGAGTCTCTTGGTGTAAAGATAAATCATAAAGGCTCAAGCATGCATTAATGGGGTAGTGGTAACCTGGGTCGTTGCCATAGGATATGTGTAGGTGGATTCTCGACCCGCCGGGGGTTCGATTCCCTCTTAATGCATTATTTGTGTTTTCCTTCTCTTTTTTCCCTGTGATAGTACTGTACGTTCCACAGCGCATATGGTGTTGACAGTATCATTATAATATGTACCTGCGTTGAGCCCGGGAGTCTGGCAAGCCTCGGATCGCGATAGAAAGATGGAAGATGCCGCGGGATGTAAGTAAGATGGAAAGATGAAAGACGGATTGAATACTGAGTCAGTGTCACTGATCTCATCCCGTCCCATGTGCAGCACCATGCCCTCCAAAAAGTACCCGACACTCCCCACTCTGAACGTGGATGGCGGGATCGGGTGAGGGCGGTTTTCGGGATTCGGGTTGGCATAGCATCCGGAAGTATCTTTGAAAGTATATTCAGAACAGGCACAAAGGCGCGCCGATGAGCTGTGTTATGTAATCACTGTGATTTGATTTGATTCGATTCATTCTGTCAGTTGTCGGTCAGTCGATTTTTTACAGTTAGTTCTTACTAGCTGGTCTGGTTTCCTCCTCTTGTTCGTCATCGTAGCCACTAGCCAAAGTTGCTCCTCGTTACAACCGCACGCGCGCGCTTTCATTTTCGCTCAAGCTTACGGCTTTACAAATTACGAGGATTTGCGACTTGACGTACATCTCGACACTCGAAACTCGACTGGATTTCGTACTGCGCCTTCAATTCTCTCCTTCATCTCGAAGCGAATACAAACGCAACAGAAAGGGGATTCGGGCATTCAATCTCCCTCCGGTGGATTTGCGTGCGGCTCGTTGATTTGCGGCGAATTCGAACAGGGATTTTCGGTCTTCGGTCCAGTCAACGGAAAGTTTGTGGAGTTGCAGTCGACAGAAGGAATTAAGAAGGAAGGAAGGACATTGAGCGGAAGAAACTGTCATAAAAGCGTGAACGAAACACAGGCCAAGGTTCGTCTTTTCGTATACTGTACACGATGCCAGGACTAACAGTAACCGCACGTCGTCCAGGATTAGGCACTATCCACGAACGGGGCAGCATAAAAAGGATGCCCTCTCTATTCTCCCGTTCCACACGTTCTCACCACCCACAGACACCGTCTGGGCCCTCGTCACGGCTGAACACGGATGCAAGTGGGCAATTTTTGGAGACTAGCGCTGCAGGCTCACAGGCTGCTTCGAGTAGTAGTAGTGGAAATACGAGTGCAGGCGGCCATCTTTCCCCATACCCAAACCTAACTCTCTCTCTCACACACCTGGAAACACTTATCTCGGTAGTCAGCGAAACACTCGACGTATCGACCCCCTTCGTGTTTAGCGCAGATGCAATGGATTTGGATGCGGGGAGGGTGAAGAGGTTGATTGACAAGTTTGTTGGCATTGTGTGTAGTGGGAAAGGCGCTGGCAGGGAAGCGTTCCTCGATGAAGCAAGGTTTTCTGGCCCGCATGAATTGGCGATGTTGTTGAGGTGGGGTTTAGCGAGAGTTGTGAGGGTGGAGACCGTTCCCGCGCCTTCCAGTTCCACGCCTCCTGGAACTCCCACTACAATGCAGACTCTGTCCCCGGGAGCTCTCATCCCTTACCTCGCGTACCTAAACTGGGCAGCGGAAGAACATCGATTAGGCTACCCCCCAGCACATTTCGCGCGGTTGTTGGATACCATGGTTAGGGTTCCGAAACAAAGCATCGGTGAACAGGGCCAGATCGAACTCGAATTGACACCCATAGCGATAATCCCACCCCAACTCAAGCAGTCCCTATTAGCGCTCTTTTCCTTACTTTCCCGCCTCGTGGCGCATAGCGCCAAGTCAGGGTGTACACCTCCCACGTTGGCACCGCTATTTGGCGTGCTGATGTTTGGGTTGGATGCGCCTACCGTTGCGCCCAACCCTTCCGCATCGTTTGGCACCGCCCCAGGTGCCCCCTCTCACCCATTCACCACGACATACACCTCCTACCTCCGCTCAACACACGCCATGGAACATCTCATACTCTCCTTCATCCGATGGCAGGATACACCTCTATCTCTTGGTGGAGGAGGGATAGGTGCCTCTGGTGTTGGCGGTGTTCCGACGAGGTGTAAGGAGTGGGTTAGGGAGTATCCGAGAGGGCTGAGTAATCACCAAGCGGTACTTGCGCTTGTGGGGCAGGGTGGAGGCGGAGGTGGATTTGCTCAAGGAGGCAGAGGTGCGCTAGGCCCACGCAAAGGCGCCAAAACGCTACGTCTGGTCAGCGTCAAGCGGACTGTTCCGGTGTATGATCCCGATTTGGTGGCGAGTTGTGGGAGGTGGGATCGGATTGGCGTTGGGTCCTACTCCGCTTCATCCTCGTTCAACTCCTCGAGCTCGTTGTATACCCTTGCAGGGAGTAAAGAATGGGAGAGGATATCACCCCATTCCGGCTCCAAAGAAAAGGGTAGGGAGAAAGAGAAACTCCCACCAAAGTACTCGGATTCGTATAGGAAGCGGATGAATATCCCGGTTGGTGTCGAGCCTGGTACGTTACCCGGCTCGCCTCTGTCTCTATCCAGGTCCACATCATCCAACTCGTCTTATGGCAACACCTCATCTTTTTACGGCCGCGGCTCAACCATATCGACGTTCACCTACGGAATCGGAGGCCTAAGCGGTGGCTCCACGCCTACGTCTCCGTCCACGCCTAACGGCAAAGATTCTTCGGAGAGATTCAAAACACTAACAGACGCACAGTGGGGGTTATTCGAATCTTCTGGGTTCCTCTCCTCCTCTTCCTCTTCCTTGTCCACCTCATCGACCACCATCGACTCGGCGTTGAAATTCGACCTAACTGAATCCGCGCGCAAGGCGCGTCTCAACCTCAATCGAAGCTCATCCAATGATGGAGATCAAGGACGAAACCCAGGCGTGAGCTGGGGTGATTTCGTTAGTGCTGGTTTCGATGCCCGGGAACGAGATCGTGACGGAGGTATGCCGCTGGTTGTATCTACGGGGACGGGCGCGGGAGGGATGAATTACGGTGTTGCTGGGGTGGCGTCGCCAGGAAGGAGAGGGTTGGGATCTGCGGGGAGTTCTGGGGGAGGTGCGCTATCCTCTATTTGCTAAAAGCGAAAATGCTAATGTCTGGTGGTGTAGGCACCGGGTACTTGGACACCAAAGGCAAACCGACGGATGTGGGCGAGTTTACACTGGATACGGGGTTGGATGCAGCGTTGCAGTTTAATTTGGCGGAGTTTGGGGTTTGGGTGAGTACGCATACCTACCGCTTTTCTTGCGTCTTTCGTCCGACTTTTTATACTTACTTTTACTCCCTTATGCTATAATACAGTCTCTTCGAGATAAAGATAAAGATAGAGAAAAGGAACGAGAAAGGGAGAGAACGGGGAGCTTTGGATTGGCCAAGAGGTTGAAGAAGAAGGAAAAGGTATGTATCGATATCCATTCCGTGTCCTCGATCGGTGATGCTGATCGATGCTTGCTTTGTTTTTCCCCACCCCATTTCCTCCCTCCGCGTCCGCCCTTTTGTTTCCCCTTACTCGCGGTACGGACTGCAGCCCCTACCACCCTTCACACACGACACCACCCCCCTCCTAGGTTCCGAAGCACTGGTGGAAGCGGCGTTTGTGGATGTCTGGGTTGATTTGGTTTGTTGGGGGTTTGCTGGGGGTGGGATGGGGATGGAAGGGTAAGTGGCTACCCATGCATTCACACCTATCCTTATCCCTTCCTTTATCTAGCTCCGACTCCGACTACGCAAACTCCAACTCGACGGCCCTAACGCTCAGCAGGAGTATCAGTGCTACTGGGGATGATGAGGAACGCGAAAGGGAGCGCGAAAAAGAGAGGGAGAGGTGGAGGAATGATTTGTTTAGAGAGTGTAATTGGGCTTTGGTGAGTGAGAGATCGTGTTTTCTTAAAGTTTTTGTTCGGGTAAAGGGAAACAGAGGTTTGGAGCGGCGAGACGTTTTTTGTGCATATCCATGCATTGAGTATGGAGCTGATGAGTTGGAATCGGGGTCTCAATTGCATTTGCAGTCTGAGTTAGAATATTTGGAAGTTGGAACCGTTGGATTTTTCTCGATGGATACTGGTTACGGCCCTATGGATTCCCGATTAGGAGGTCAACGCGCGCGTGTCACGCTGCTGGGTGTTGGGCTTTTTGCCGACTGTATTTGCGCTTCTTTTGGTTCCTTTGCTCGTTCGTCATCAAAACGATAGTCCGGCGCGCGCCCATTCTCCGTCGTCTTCACCTCCGCTTTTTTACCATCTATTCAATCATATCTACGTCCGTTTCTGCCGTTGCCGTCACTAACTAATTCCTCTCTCCCTCCCCTCCCCCTCTCACTTCATATCTCATATCTCATATCTCGTATCTCATTGCTTGACACATCTTCCTCCTCCTAACATCTTCCATCTCCCATCTTTCTCCTCCTCCTCACTCTCCCCCATCCCAATATATATATGTATGTTTTCACAGGTCGAATTCAAAGCCCTTCCAAGCTCCAACTCTACTAGTCCAAACGCCAATTTAAACACAAACTCGTCTTCGCTTAGGATTAATACGAATATTGGCGGCAGTTCCTCAGGTATGTTTGATCTATATTTATCACCCGTTCGCTCGACGCTGAACGCCGGTATCTTTTTTACCTTCTTTCTTACAACTATCAACCTCTACTACACCTGACGTGCGCCAATCCGAAATTGAACGCTATTGGGCACCTCTCTCAACGCTAACAGGAAACGCCTCCACTAGCTCCGACCCACGCACATCCTCCTCCCTCCTCCTCTTTGAGGAATACGTCCCGCGCGAATATCGTGCCCAGCTCGCGCATCAGATCCTAGGTATTCATCCATCGGTGATCTTGAATCCTTCTGCGAATGCGATGATTGGTATGTGCTTTGCTCTCATTCTGATGTATTGCCAACTTCAACTCCAACTTTTTTTCTTTCCAGCTACCTCACCCTCAGGCCGCGTCAGACTCGGTTCCTTGTTTGCCAGCTCCTCCAATGTCAACGTATCCACAGCTAGTCTTAGTCTGAAGAAGGAGAAGGATAAGAAGAAGGATAAGAAGGATAAAAT